GTGTGATGGAGTCTGATAGAAGTAAGAGTAGTGAGTGTATATATATATATATATATATAAATATATATATATATATATTTTCATATATATGCACGTATACTTCCATATACATAAAGGATCCCTGGTAGTTCAACAGTTAAGCACGCAGCTGCCAACTGAAAGGTTGGCAGTTTGAATCCACCCGTCACTGCGGGAAAAGACCTGGTGATGTGCCCCTATACCCATTACAGCCTAAAAAACCATATGGGGCACTTCTACTCTGTCATACAGGATTACTAGGAATGGGTGGCACACAATAACAACAAGGGATTTATATAACTTAAAGGTTGGTACATGTTAAAAGCCACTGTGGAGTCAGTGCTTAGTCCTCTCCTCCCCTCTCTCTACTTTATTGCTGACCTCATCTAGGCCCTCGCATTTACCATCTTTTGGTGATCACTCCCAAAATCACACCACTGGCTTCCCATCTGACTTTCAGACTCATATTTCTAACAACTTACTTGACATTCCCACTAGATTATTTACCAGACTTCTCAAATTCAACATACCCAAAAACAATTTCTTGACTATCCACCATATTCCAACTTATTCATTCCCCATCTCAGTATCGCCAATCAAAAATCATGAAGTCATCCTTAATGTCAATTTTTTTCTTAAACTCCACTTCCAAACTGAGGTTCTGTATTCAAGATATTTCTTGACCAGGATATGTCAAGCATCCAACCACTTTTTACAACTTCCAAAGCTACTACTCTGGTCCCAGCCACCATCATGCCTTACCTGGATTATTATGTTAGTCATCTAAAGTGATCCTGTTAAAATGTACGTCATATCATGTCTCTCCTGTGCTTGATACACAACAATGGGCCCATCTCACTCAGAGTCCAAGTCCAAACCCTTACAATGGTCTACAGGGACCCTCATGATCTGTGCCTCCTGGCCTCTGTGACTTCATCTTCTACTACTCTTCTCCTTACTCGCCACACCCTCATAGTATCAGCCTTACTTTGTTGTTCTTTGAACACACTGAGCATCTCCCACATTATCTGGTTTTCTCTTCTGCCCAGAACACTCTTACCCCACATATTAGCATGGGTTGGTCCCTTACATCATTCAAATCTCTCTTCAACTCTCTTAATGAAAACTGCCCTAACTATCCTTTTTAATATTACAACCTTGCCTTCTGCTAGCTCTCCTGATTTCCTTGACTTGGCTCTATTTTTCCTTTCTCCAAAGTACCTATCATCTTCTAATTACTATATATCTATTTACTAGGTTTACTTTCTGTCTCCTCTGCCCCATAACATAAGGTCTAGGAAGGAAGGGTTTATTTTCCTTATTTTAAGTTACTTATTTGAAATAGTTTAATACTGTCAGTGTAAAGTCTTCTTCTCACCTTGTTCCTGTATCTTTGTAGTCTCATCATCTCTGGAGGCAAAAATGTTGTCAGTTTCTTGTATATCTTTTAAAAGTTAATTCTATGAATATATATGCATATCTATATTTATTGCTTTTTAATACAAATGGTAACATACTCACTATTCTGGACCTTGCTTTTTCACTTAATATTTCAGAGATAAGTCCAAAGTAATACAATTAAAAAGTTTCTTCCTTCTTTTACTCACTAGTATTGCATTTTACCTTACAAATGTACCATAATTTATTTGACTATCCCATTAATATTATATATCCAGTTTATCTCCAACCTCTTACTTTTAAAATAAAGGACATGACTGGACCAAACCTAACCCAGGAATAAATAAAATAAAAG